GTTTAAAGTTTGGTCAATTTATACCCTCGCGTCCAATTTTTGGTCTACATATGCCCTTATGGGTGTTAGTTGGTCAACTCAAAATATCCAACTCATTTTACTTTTCTTTAAATGCCAAATGGGATTTCACATCAATTAAATATATTATCACTTGACATTTATATTAAAAGAGAAAGGGGTCACTTATGCCCTAACTATCCGACTTAATTTTAAAACACATATACGACCGTCTTTTAAATGGTTCAATTATGCCCCTAATCCGACTCATATATGTGAATTATTTTGTTATTTACATCATCATCGCCTGCTGCAGCTTGCAGTTGTGTCTGTAATGTTGTTGCGGTGAATTCCTCTGCTCTAGCCCTTGCCTGCCAGGTTTGCGCCTCAAGCTCTGCGTTGCGCCAAAACGCTTTTCAAACCTCGACTTCCTTTTCCTTTAGTTGTCATGCCATTGATTCCTCGGTGGTTTCAATCAAAGCACGATAGTGTTCACCATTTAAATGGTTCAATTATGCCCTAATCCGACCCATATAGGGTATTTAAAAAAAAGGGTCTGGTTGTATAGATTATTTAAAAGACGGGTCGTATATATGTTTTAAAATTAGGTCGGATAGTTAGGGGCATAAAAGACCCCTTTCTCTTTTAATATAAATTTCAAGTAATAATATATAAAAATGATGTGGAAAATCCATTTGACATTTAAAGAAAAGTAAAATGAGTTGGATATTTCGAATTGACCAACTAACACCCATAAGGGCATATGTAGACCAAAAGTTTGAACGCGAGAGTATAAATTGACCAAACTTTAAACGGGATATATCTAGACCTTTCGAATAATTTAGGGGCATATTTGACCCTTTTTCCTTGAATATAAATGTCAAGTGATAATACATAAAAATGACGTGAAAAATCCATTTGGCATTTAAATAAAAGTAAAATGAGTTGGATATTTCGAGTTGGCCAACTAACGCCCAAAAGGACATATGTAGACCAAAAGTTGGACGGCGAGGGTATAAATGGACCAAACTTTAAACGGAGGGTATATCTAAACCTTTTCAAATAGTTTAGGGGCATATTTGACCCTTCTCTCTTTTTTTTCCTCGTCTCATATAATATGATCTAATTAATTTAAACTAGAAGCAGATAAAATTCATCAAAAGAAGATATATTTATTTTTTTTTATACTGGAGATATTAAATTAAGAGCTGAGGGATCTAATTTAATTATTTTCTCACTTTTACGTGTGACTCACTTGTATATATATAGAGAAACTTTTCATTCTAAAATAAAAAGTGAGAAAAAAAATTATCATCTTTTAAAATATAGCATCCACATATCTGAAAATGACATTTTCCAAAAAAAAAGTAAATGTAATTGAGTAAATTTTGTTTAATTTTATTTTTTTCCATCCAACAACCACATAATGCTATCTAGTACAGCACCGACCTGCGTAACTGCTGGCCACCCCATTGCTGGCTGGGGCTGTTGCAACTTTGTTTTATTAGGTATCAATCTTTTTCAAATTGTATATATTTATCTCCGCATATGATTTGTTACTCTAATTATTATTGTTATCATCATTATTGTGAACTATAATTGCATAAATTTTGGAAATGTATCTAGTGGTACCAACTACCAAGAAATGGCTCAAAATGACTTTCAAAATTGGAATCTATACCTTATTTTAAAATTTAATATTATTATTTATATCGCTCTATTTAAACCTAGATTTTACCTTCGACAACCTGAGTAGAGTAGGACACTAAGTCCTCTCACATTTAATTTTGGATATTAATGGTCGGACAGCGCTAGGTCTTGCACGTACAATTGAGCAATTTCCTAGATCTTAACAAAACAGCCCTATATGTCACTTGTTAGAATCAAACACTTGAAAAAAGTTATAGCTAATAGCGAAAGTAGTCCACCAAACAAGCACCATCATAACGCCGGCCACTAGCCCCGCGAATTTCCATAGGCAGGATATTGACATTACCAAACAATGATAACAGATAATAAATGATGTCCATGAAAATAACTATAGATCATGTTAGGAGTTGTGAAAGTGTAACAAGACATCAACAAATATTAGAGAAATAAACTTTCTTTTTCTCCTTCGTATCACAAGAGAATAAAACAGTGAGAGTAGGAGGAAAACTATAAAGGAAAAATAATTAAAACAAATGGTGCAACACTGCTGGTACACATCTAGTGTTGCTGTCCTGATTAAAATCCTTCTTGCCATGATGACAAACTACTTTTCTGCAGTGCCTACATTACAAATTACAATATCACAAATATCTTTCTCAGGGACCAGATCTCTGATTGAAGAGATGGATGATTATGCATCACTATGCTGCATCAAGAAAACATCAAATTAGACATACTGGATTTTTCAACAAAATGAATCGATAAACTAATCTAAAGATGCCCCTTAACTGAATTTTCAACTCAAATTATTATCTTGTATTGCAACACTTACTCCTCCAATTAGTCAGCTAACAGAGAAGAGGCAAACAGATCTTGCACAAAAACAGCTCTTCCAGTAGCCTGGCTTATCCTCTTTTCCCTCTCTTCCACACTTAGTGAAGGGTCAAAACTGCAAGAAAATGAAGAAGAGTAGGATAAAAGACCTTTCAAATAGATCATTTTAAGATTTTGATGTAACATCAACAACCACAAGGATCATCAAAGGCAGCTAGTGCTTTTGTCTTGCATACAAGTAAAAGCGAAGCGTAATTTGACTGCTTGCACTGTCAGGACCCTTCTTTCAAATATCCAAGA